AAGCACCAACAGCTACTCTAACAACCACAACTCAAGCACCAACAACTGTAACTGCTGCACTAACAAACACAACCCAAACACCAACAACTAGATCTGCTACACCAAAAACCACAACTCAAGCACCATCAACTGCAACTGCTACAACAAAAACTACAGCTATAGCACAAATAACAAGTCAAGCACAAACAACTGCAACTGTTACACCACCAACAACAAGTCATGCGCCAACAACGACTGCTACACCAACAACCACAACAGAAGCACATACAACTGCTGCACCAACAACCACAACTCGAGTACCAACAATTGCAACTGCTACACTTACAACCACAACGCAAGCACCAACAACTATAGCTGCTTCAACAACAACTACAACTAAAGCACAAACAACAACTCAAGCACCAACAACTACAACTGCTGCATCACAAACCACAAGCCAAGCACCATCAACTACAACTGCTACACCACCAACCACAACTAAAACACCAACAACAAGTCAAGTACCAACAAGTAAAACTGCAGCACAAACAACCACAACTCAAGCACCAACAACTGCAACTGCTACACCAACAGCCACAACCCAAGCACCAACAGTTACACCAACAACCACTACTCAAGCACCAACAACTACAACTGCTCCTACAACAACTGCAACTAACGCACAAACAACAAGTCAAGCACCAACAACTACAACTGCACGACAAACAAGCACAACCCACGCACAAACAACTACAACTGCTCAAACTGCTACACCAACAATCACAACACAAGCACCATTATCTAAAACAGCTACACCAACAACCACAACTCAAGCAACAACAACTACAACTGCGACGCATTCAACCACAACGCAAGCACCAACAACTACAGCTGCTACTTCAACAACTACAGCTAAAGCACAAACAACAACTCAAGCACCAACAACTACAACTGCTACATCTCCAACCATAACTAAGGCAACAACAACTACAGCACAAACAACCACAACTCAAGCACCAACAACAGCTACACCAACAACCACAAGTCAAGCACCAACAACTAGAACAACTACACCAACAACCACAAATCAAGCACCAACAACTACAACTGCTACAACAACAATCACAACTGAAGCACCAACAACTGCAACTGCTGCACCAACAACCACAACCCAAGCACCAACAACTACACCTGCTACACCAACAACCACAACTCAAGCACAATCAAATGCAACTGCAACACCAACAACCACAACTCAAGCACCTACAACTACAACTGCTGCAACTACAACTAAAGCAAAAACAACAAGTCAAGCACCAACAACTAAAACTACTGCACAAACAACCACAACTCATGCACCAACATCTGCAACTGCTACACCACCAAAAACAATGAAACCACCAACAACTACAACTGCTGTACCAAAAACCACAACTCTAGCACCAACAACTACAACTGCTACTCCAATGACCGCAACTCAATCGCCAACAACTCCAACTGTATCACAAACAACCACAACTCAAGCACCAACAACTGCAACTGCTACACGAGCAACCACAACTCAAGCACCGTCAACTACAACTGCTACACCGCCAACTACAACTAAAGCACCAACAACAAGTCACGCACCAACTACAACTGCAGCACAAACAACCACAACTGTAGCACAAAGAACCACAACTCAAGCATCAACAACTGCAACTGCTATACCAACAACCACAACTCAAGAACCAACAACTACAACTGCTGCACCAACAACCACAACCCAAGCACCAACAACTACAACAGCTACACCAATAACTACAACAGCTACACCAACAACCACAACTCAAGCACCATCAACTACATCTGCTACACCATCAACCACAACTCAAGCACCATCAACTACAACTGGTACACCAAAAACAACCACAACTCAAGCAACAACAACTATAACTACTAAACCATCAACCACAACACAAGCACCAACAACTACAACTGCTACACCAACAACCACAACCCAAGC